AGGGATCATCTATTCTTTGCTTGCTCCTATACTTATATGGTTTGGATGAAGGTGGCTGGGAATTTGTTCGGCAGTGAACCAGATCCTGATTGGGACATAACTCTGTGTCGCCTGCTCACCGGTTCTTATGATCGTCTCAGTTTCATCATTCTGAGAGTGATTTTACAAGCCACCATCTATTTCATTTGGCGTGAACGTAATGAGAGGAAGCACAATACCAGCAACAAGTCAGTGGATCAACTAGCCAAGATGATTGACAAGACCATCAAAAACCGTATTACCTCCCTAAAATACAACCTCAGGCCGAGACTCCATGGATTAATGATTCGTTGGTTTGAAGCACATGAGATTGTAGCTTAGCTTACGAGTAGTTTCAGTCCTATTTGATTTCTTTCTTATTTTTTAAACTCTATATAGCTGTATATATATATATATATATATATATATTTTGAAGTTGATCAATAAATTTAACATTTCATCAAAAAAAAAACCTAGTGCACACACCTGATTTACAGTTGTTTTAAAGTCATTTAAAAAAATCTATCCATAATATTTTTCATGTTTATTTTGTGTTCAAGCGACTTTTAATTTTGATATTCAAGTACTCTCATTAGTCCATTATAGTGTTTGCACATGCATTAACCAGTTTCACAATTCAGTCAATAGACTAAACTTATCGGAAAGTTATCCGAAAATGTATAGGCGTAAAATGTATTAAAATTTAATTTCAACAATTACTATTTCTTAGAGTGGATAATTCTAATTTAGCTACTATGATTAACAATCTAGTGGAATTGGCATTTTTCTAGAAGATCAACTATATGATTCTAAGACTTCACAGTTATCTACGACTTTAGGAGAAGTTTTTAATTATCTTATTTTTATCGTGCTATTTGTTTTTATTATATGGTGAAATGATGTATCAATACTATTAAAACATAAGCAATTCTTATCTACTTGCAAATAATCTAGATTGAACCATTAAATTTATTAAATTTTCTGTTATGTTACATACAATAAACTTAGTTATTATTAAATAAACACATAATCTTAATATATTGTTTAAATATATTCAAAATAAGATATCAAAAGATATTCTTAACTACTTTTTTAGATTACATTTTAATAATATTTTTAATATATTTTTATTTACAAAACAAATATTATTTTTAATATTATTTTAATAATAATAAATCATAAAATAATATTAAATTCAGTTACAAATGAACATTATCTCATTTTGATTTATATAATAAGAAATAACTTCTATAATATTTATATATAAATATTTCTTATTTATAATTAAAAATTACCCGAAATAGTAATTTTAAAATAACTTAATCTATTTTTTTATAAATTATAAACTAAAGGAATTACATTTACAGAATAACATATATTTATGTAGTTTACAACATACTTCAACTTATTAAAACAAAATACTACTATAAGATATTTAAAATAAGAAATAATTTTACATTTTAGTATACATATCTAAATTAAACATTAGGATATAATGTAATAGAAAATATAATACTAAATTTAATTGACATTAATATTTTTATGATTACAATTATATTTTCTTGCATATTATTTCATAAAAATATAAACAATAAAAAATATATTCATATTATTCATTTTTTTAAAATATAATTAAAATTAATATGAGGCGGGTTATATAAATAAATTATCTTATTTTCGTAAAGTTATATTTATAATTTTTTTAATTTAATTAATATACTTTAAAAACAAAATCTCATTTATAAAAGTACATATATATATATATATTTCTTCTTTTTGCTAAGGTAGAGTATTCTTTAGATTTTTTTTTATTTTTTTTTGTAAAACTGAACATTTAATATGATATTAGCATTCCATCTACAAAAAAACATATATATATATATATATAATTTATATTTTTGGTAAATAAATTTTTGAATAATATTTATAAACCATCTAAATTTGGTTTTAAGTTGGACTTGAGCATTAGCATCCATTAGGATACAGATTGAGTATTTTTAATTTTGGTTGTAATTTATATAACATCCTAGATCCTATTGTGTTAAATTTGTAAATATGGATTGTGGTTTAGATATACACATTGGTTTGGTTCTAATTTGTATCACATATCAAAACCATAAAGTAATCATATATCATTAAAATGTGGTTTATAATGGTTCGGTCCAGATGTATCCAAAGTTTAATCCAAAATTTTAAAGAAAAACCTAAAAATAAATATTTATTATATAGAAGCAGATATTTAAGGTACCTTTTAAAATTTAAATATTTATTTTTAGATATCACTCGAAAATAAATATAGATTTGAGTTATATATTTATGTTTAAAAAATATTTATATTTGTGATTAATTTGAACATTCAAATCAGTTTTCAAATCTTTACAGGTTTTTTCGGGTTATTGGTTTGGATTGGCTAATAACACTTCGGTTTTGATATGTTATGTACCACTACCATCGTATAAAATCTTTTATGGTATTTTTACATTTCAAATCGGGTATGGATAAGATTTTTGTAGTTTGGGTTTGGCTTTGACTTCAGGTTATGGATTTTATGCTCAAACATATTTTAAATAAAGAGAAAAGACTATTATATAATGTTTTTACCAAAAATTTATCCATATTTTCAAAGCACGGATCAAAATCTAATCATATATATTAAAACAGAAGTCATGACTTCACTTCATGTGTGATTTCCTTTAAAATTGACCTATTCCTAGAAAATTATTTAAATGAACTTTTGTATATATTTTGAAATATTTTAATTATTCAAAGAAAAATCAAATAGATATTCCTATATTCCTTTTTATTTACAATATAAATATATTTCTTTAAAAAACATAAATGTATATTCCATTTTTCTTTTAAATATTTATTAATTTCGTAATTATTTGAAATATAAATCTATAATTCATTTTTACTAAAATAAACCTTTTACATATCTAATTAATTATGTAATTATATTAAACTCATGTATGATTTTGTATTGAATGTGTGATATTAATTTAACTAATCTTTTTCAATTAAATATTTGATCTCTAAAATCTAAGATTTGTTAATTCAGAATTTTATACCACACTATTGAAATTTGTATACATTTTGAAATACTTTAATTATTCAAAGAAAAATTAAATTGATATTCCTATATTTCTCTGAATTACATCTAAACAAAATCTTTTCGTACCTTTTTATTTACAATATAAATATATATTTCATTAAAAAATATAAATGTATATTTCATTTTTATTTTTTAAAAAAACTTTTAAATATTTATTAATTTCGTAATTATTTGAAATATAAATCTATAATTAATTTTTACTAAAATAAACCTTTTAGATATCTAATTAATTATGTAATATATTAAACTCATGTATGATTTTGTATTGAATTTGTGATATTAATTTAACTAATATTTTTCAATTAAATATTTGATCTCTAAAATTTGTTAATTCCGAATTTTATACCACACTATTGAAATTTGAAAATGTGCTAACAATATGGAGGTTTGGTCTATCAATGCAATTTTGAAATTGCATTTAATTTATGTTATTAAATATAGTATCGGGTTTAATTTTATATTTTAATAATAGAAGTATATGAGTGTTTTCTTTTACAAAAAAGATAATCAAGTTTATTTTTATATTGACTATATTCGTATATTATTCATTAATGCAATTGTTTTTATTTCTTATATTGTGTGCAATTTTTAAAATTGCAATAATTATTATACCAATTAATTTCATTAACAAAAATGGCAGATGAATGATTAAAAAATACCATTAGTGTGAATATTTTTATTTACAGTGTGTTTATTATCAAATGTAATTATAAGTTTAAATTTTAATTATATAGTTTGATGTATGATAGACGCAAATAAAAGTTTTAACATTAGATAACTTTCGTGGTAGTAAAATATAAATCAGTAATATACAATATAAAAAACCTCAAAAAACGTAAATATTAAAGAGAAAATTTATTTTAAACAGACAAAAATAAACACAATGCATTACAATTTCTGGGTTAATAATTTAAATGAACCACACATTTTAAAAATTACACTTAATATAGGTTATTCAATTGAAGATTTAATTCGTACAAATAATTCCGTTAACATATATGTATGACCAAAATCTAAAGTACAAATACAATCTTAAGGAAATTAATATTTAAGTTAATATTAAATTGAACAAAATTATTGTAAATATAACATAATGTAAGGTTTTAGTTAGTGTTCATGTTTTAATAAAAAAATGTATCACTAATATTTGAAACAATAAATTAATTGCTACATGCAAACTATAAAATTATTGTATTTGAAAATGTTATATTAAACTATTAGCAAGATGGTAAATATTAAACTTATATACCACTAATCATATAAATGTAATATTTGTATAAAATAAAAATAACCACCTTAGTATTTGTATATAATAAATATAATCACTCGCACGGTTGTGCAGGTCAAGATCTAATCTTATAGAAATTATGATTTCACTTTATGTGTAATTTTTTACTTGGATCATTCTTAGACATTTATAAATGTATTTTCTTAATATTAGTGATATATCTTTTATGTACCTACTTTAATTAATATCTTTTCATTTTAAATATAAATAAATAAATAAATTAATAAATATATATATATATATATATATATATATATATATTTCAAATTTCTAGCAAATTTTTTAAAAAATATTTTTAAAAGATCTCAATTCTAAAAAATCTTATCTAAATATTTTCACTAATTTTGTAATAACAATAAATTATTATTATACATTAATACATATTCAGTTATTGTTTATAAAATAAAAGATAAAACTTTTATCCTACTTTATTTATTTTATCGTGGAATTAGGAGTTTCGCCACTATACTCGAATCGTGTGACAATATCGACGGCTCACTATTTGTCCAGGCCCCTTAATCCCGGCCCAACTAAGAACAGAATAAAACAAGGGTCACCAGATATTCACAGTAAACATTAGGCGCATTGTAGCTAAACGAGCAACACAGAACGAAACGACAGCACCTGGCACAGTCCTCCTCCTCGCGTGCTCTCACGCGCCGACGCAATACTCTTCCGTCGCCCCCGTCATTGCCTCTACAGCCGTTCTCGCTCGTTTTCCGCCGACCACAGTTCTCTACCAAACATCCAAAACCCTCTGACTTCTTCTCTGTACCAGCTTGCATTAAACCCTAACTCTCTCTCCACATTTCGTAAGTTCTGGTCAAAATCTGGGAGATCGTCTTATCTTTTAAGTATCGGAAAACTATATTTGTTGTCTAGAAGAGAAAAATCGTTTTTAGGGTTTCGTTGTTCGCTTGTGGCCGTTACATGAGGGCTTAACAAGTGACATTCCTAAACCCCTTAGCGCGTTTAGTTTCTGCGTTTTCGTTTTATTCGCCTTGTTTAGATGTCTGGTCTCATAGTTTGTAATGTTCATCTCCAGTTTGGTCTGTCTTTTTTTGTTTTAACTGTTCTTCATTTTTTCTGTTTTTTTTTAAGTTTTAGCTCAATCTATTTCCTTTTGGCATCTTGTTTTTTTTCCGCGTTTTGCAATTTGAGACAGATGAGAAGTTATCACTAACAGTTACTCTTCATTTTGTTTGTTGTGTTGTTGCAGGAAACTATGGCACCAAATCCCCATATCAAAAAAGCATATAAAGCTATGAAGGATCTTGGAATAAATGATGCGCAGATAAAGCCCGTCTTGAAAAACCTTCTCAACCTTTACGATAAGAACTGGGACTTAATAGCCGATGACAACTACAGGGCACTCGCTGATGCTATCTTCGATAGCCAAGAGACTCAGGTCTCTTTCTTCTCACATTTTGATCTTTCTTTCTCTACTTATATCATTTTCGTTTTTTCTCACCTTATATTGATGTAACACATGATAGGCTTCTGAAGAGAAAAAAGGAAAGGAGAAGAAGGCTGACGAAGCTGAAGGCAGCGTATGTTCTTTCCTCACAATCTTCCTTTTATTAGTTCAAAGACTGTATTTTCTTAAAAATCTTATCATTGTTCGCTTTGTTGTTGATCAAATCTTTCAGGCTGCAGAAGTTGAGAGAGGAAAGAGGAAGGCGAATGAAGTATGCAAACTTAATATCTTTATTTTGTTAATGTTTCTTTCTTCATATTCTTGCATTTATTCAGTTTATGTCTTGTCATGTATTATCAGTCTGTAGACGACGATGAAGATGCCTTGGATGAGCCTGAACGCCCTTTAAAGAGGCTGCGGCGCAGAGGTGAAGCAGGCTCTGCTTCGGCTTTCAACAATCCCAACTTGGGAAGTCCCAGCTCAAAAGAGACTACAGCTCATGACCAAGAAACGACGCCTGTCTTGTTGCCAGTCCATCCTCTACCAACCGAAAATGACCCTGATGCTGATGCGCTCATTATGCCCAAAGGCGAACCCTTTACAGATATTCCTTTCACTTCTACTCATCAAGGTACTTCTTGATAAATAGGACTAACTAAATCTTCTTTTTCATTTCTTATTTGCTGTGTTGAAGCTGCTTATTTCAAAGCTAATACGTGTCTTGTATGTTATCTCTTGGTGTCTTCCTTTAGCTGAGATGGAGGAAACAAATGGACATCTGGAACAGCGAGATGGTGCAGTAGCTACTCATACCATTCCTACAACTATTGAGAGATCTAGTGAGCACAAGCTAGCTGCTACCATAGAAGGATCTTCAACACTTGCATTAGTTTCATCTCCAGCAGGCAAAGTGAAGATTAATCTGAGTTTTGCTCCTGCTACTGGGGGATCCAATTTGCATGCACCTTCTATGGATCAACTACGAAGAGCAATGGAGGATGTGTGTCTCCGGCAATACAAAATACTGGACCCTAACTTTTCTGTTAGTCGTTTTTTGAACGACATCGCTAGCTCCTACCTGGAACTGGCAACAAAGGAAGAAAAACCAGCCAACCAGTTGCCAGAAAACTTGCCGTCTGTTACCACAAATGCTGATGTATTGAAGAAATCTGCGGCAGCTATGGCTTCTACTGCTGAGGGCAGTAATGACCTGGCAACAAAGGCGAGGAATTCAGCCAACCAATCGCCGGAAAACATGCAAACACATGATCATGTGCGTGAGGATGAAAACAATGGAGTTGGTGAATCCGTGGGTTTGGTAGTTGTTCCCGAGTGCCAGATTTCTGCGGATGAGTTTAGAGTGATCAGCAGCGTCAGTGACATCACCTTTGGAAAAGAAACAGTTGAGATTCCTTGGGTGAATGAAGTCAATAGCAAGGTGCCTCCACCTTTTCGATACATAGCCCAAAGCCTTGTGCATCTAGATGCTGAAGTGAAGTTTTCACTTGGGAACATCAAAGCTGACGAACACTGCTCCTCTTGCTGTGGAGATTGCTTGTCTCCATCAATGGCATGCAGTTGTGCTACTGCGCTTAGTGGTTTTAGATACACAAAAGATGGCCTCCTGCAGCAAGATTTCCTGGAAGACTGTATCTCCGAGGCCCATGATCCGCAGAAACGTGTGCTGCAGTATTGTCAAGAATGTCCATCAGAGATTGCCAAAAACGAGGAGACTCTGGAAGCGTGCAAGGGGCATAGAAAGAGGAAGGTCATCAGAGAATGTTGGAGCAATTGTGGCTGTACCCAGAAGTGTGGCAACCGAGTTGTCCAAAATGGCATTCACATTAAGCTGCAGGTTTCTACGTTCACCTTACCAAATTTATTTTGCTAAGCGGTTCGCTGTTTAATAATTTCAACGCATTAACAAAATTGATTATACTTTGTTTATTGATATCAGAGAAATCTGAACAAAACATTTTCCTTTCACTCCTTGAATCAGGTGTTTTTCACGTCCAATGGGAGAGGTTGGGGACTCAGGACTCTAGAAAAGCTGCCGAAGGGGGCATTTGTCTGTGAGCTTGCTGGAGAGATATTGACTATTTCAGAGTTGGTCCAACGCAGCTCTGAGAAACTTACTTCTCCGGTAATGCTGGATGCACACTGGGGTTCTGAAGAAGTTTCAGGTGTCAACAAAGCTCTTTGCCTTGACGGAACGCACTATGGAAACATCTCCAGGTTCATCAATCACAGGTATCCCTTACGAGCACAGTTTCTTTAAATGTGTTTGAATCGTTTGGTTTTGGTCATTTTCGAAATGACAAGCTTAGCTTTAGAAACTCGTGTGGTGAAACTTATAATTCGTTTTCTTCTCATCTCATTACTTCGCTAACCGTAGTACTATGTATATGTACAGATGCGGGGATGCAAATTTGATTGAGATCCCAGTTCATGTGGAGAATATGGACTTGCACTACTATCATGTATGAAACAAATCCTGGTTTCATTTCTAATCCTTTGCTTGTTGAAACTATGAAACATGAAGCTAACCTATGTTTTTTCTCAGCTCGGGCTCTTCGCAACAAGGGATATCGAGGCCATGGAGGAACTAACCTGGGTGCGTTAGAAGTTTCTCCACCCGGACCTGACAGATTTGTGTCATTTCATTAGTTTGGGTTCAAGTCATGTTTATTGTTTTGAATCTCTCTGAGAAGTCTTGGACTTAAACCTGCAGGATTATGGCGTGGAGTTCAACGATCATGTGTATCCTACGCGTCCGTTCCATTGTCGATGTGGTAGCGAGTTCTGTCCGAACGTTAAGCGGATCAGTGAGTAAATCGTCCAAAGATTTCTAATAATTGATAGTCTCTTTCCTTAGTTCGACTGTTAAATACTTTTGATACATGAACTCTTGACTTTTGTTGTATCTGACAATCAATTCTCTGATGGTGCAGAGAAAAAGAAGTCGAAGAAGAGGCATGAGAGCTCACAGTGTTAGTTATTTAGGATGTGTGATGGATGGCCAAATCTCTCTCTAAGAATGCATTGACAAAATTTTACCCAAAAAAGCTCATTTATTGTCAATCCGACTAAGCAAATAAGTAAAGTCAGTCGGTGGATCCATCCATCTGTCGGGTTAGATTAATCAGTGATGATGCTTTTGTCTTAATATTTTGTGGTAACAAGCTTTTGAATATATCTGAACTTAGGTTCTGATGCTATGGCTTTGGTTTAACCATATAAAACCTCTCTGTTTATAGATGATTATGGTTTTTTTAGACATCATATGGTTATGGCTTTGGTTTGATCTTAATAGTGTCTATTTCCGTATATGGTTTAGAAGAGAATCTTGAATTAAAATGGCTATGACTTTGGTTTACCATGATAAACATGTCTCTCTATTCATACACAATTTACAAGAGTCTCCCATGAAGAGTAACGGTTCTCTTCTCTAAAGTGGTTCTCTTCTCTCTACATGAACAGTATTGGAGAAGGTTTATCCACAGTTCAGAACACGATCAGAGCTTTGACTTATTACATATATATACATCGGCTAGGTAGAGGTTTAAACCGCATGCTGTGCTTCAACGGCTTTACCCACCGAGTCTCTATGATGAAGAATCAAGAGAGAATCCTGATCGCCAGATAAAGAAATGGCCGGTTGGATTCCACTTGCGTTTAGAGGAAACAGCGTTTTGTAGTAGCCATCCATTATAGCGGGAATATCACAAGTAGCCGCAACACCAGGAATCTGTTTCAACAACAACAACAAACGCAGAATATGAAAACGCACTTCTGAACACATTATACTAAGCAAAGAAGATATAAACCTTTCTTTAGGGACATACTTGGTAAATGTCGCGCAAATATCCGTAGAGATTTGTGTACTCAACGAGCTTCTTCTTAGTGCATTTGAACAGAATGTTGTAAACAGGATCAAAACGAATCAGAGTTGTGAAGAGACAAACATCAGCCAGTGTCAACCTTTCTCCACACAAGTATCTGTTACTACCTAAGTGATCTTCAATCTCATCTAAGGTACTAAAAAGTTCATTTACTGCTCGATCATACGCCTCTTGACTCTGCGCAAATCCACACCTTCCACACAAAGCAATAGACTTTAAGCAACAAACACACACATTGCAACATCAAGAAGACTCCAATTACCTGTAAACGCCATTGTTAACTTTAGGGTACACAATCTGATTCCAAGATTGAATCTTTCCTTTCAATTCTGGTGGCGTGAGATCCAAGTTAGGGTTCCTAGCGAATTCGTTCAGACCAGAGTTAAAAAACTCGATAATATCGTAACTTTCATTACAGACAACATCGTTCTTCCTTAAATCCCACAACATCGGAACCGTACATCTCCCGTCATAACCACCACTTCTCGATTTATACACTTCCATCAGATTCCGACACCGGTTTACCTTATCCAAACCCGGTACAAGTTTATCCTTATCCCTAACCGGGACATTATTATTATCCTTAAACTCCCACGAACCGTCTTGACCGGGCGACGCGACTGAGACCGATACGGCGTCGTCCAAACCCTTGAGAGCGCGTACGAGTAGCGTTCGGTGAGCCCAGGGGCAAGGGAGACCGACGTAGAGGTGGAGATCCGAAGAAGCGAGGGAAGGGAATTGGGTCGGGTCGAGGCGGAATTGGGAAGTGGGTCGGGTGTATGACCCGGAAGAGTCTGATGGAGCGAGCTGGGTCATCATGAGATGCCAGACGGTGGACCAGGCTGTTCGAGCGGTGGAGATGAGTAGACCCGGAGGGAGAGATGGGCCCCAGAGTAGCTTTGTGGCGGAGGTGAAGATGCTGCTGGTGGGTTTTGGTGATTGGTTGGACATTTTGGCGCTGACGTGGCGTGGCGCGAAGGAGGGAGATTTGGTTGTGAAAGACGGAAAGTTTAATTGCGCCGATGCGATGCAAACGGCCATGGCTGAGCTCTTCCTTGGTCTCTCTGGGAAGAGAGGTGAACGACCCAAAACGTTGCATTTCTATTTTCTACAGAAAAAAACAGGCCCATTTACGTCTAGGCCCTAATGAATGTATTGTTTATAATACAAAAAAATTACAATGCGGAAATATTAATATTTAAATTTTGAAGTTTGCAATTAGTGTTGGGGTTGTATTATATAACTCGAACTAAAATTCGAAATGTGGATTAGGTTTCTTTATCCTAGTTGTGTATTGAGTGATAATTATAGACATTGTGGGGGCACTTGTTTTTCCCCCCGAAAAATTCAGATAATCAAATGTCAGTGATGATTTTCCACTTTGATTTTAAGAATTTCATCTGCAAAAAGCTTGTAATTTTTAAAAGTAATTTTATGTATTCTCATTACTGGTTTTTCAGGGATAAAGCAAAACTTATATATTCAGGGTGGTCTCAAATTATTTTTGGACAATGTTCAAAAAGTATTAACGATATATTTAAAGATAGAATATAATAGTTTTAAAAGTTTATAGCTATTTTTTTTTGTATAGATTTGATTTCTTTTTTGAAATTATAAGCTATGAATTTCTATATTATCTAAAAATTTAAAGTTTTAGATCATAATTTATATATTTAAAGTTCAATTTTTTTTTAAAAAGAAAATTATATATTTATTTCAAATTTTTTTTTTAATTTCTATTTATTTTAAAATTTGCCTTTGTTCTACATTCGGGTTCGATTCGGATCTTTTCGTGTTTCGGATTTTCGGGTTCAAATTTTAACCCCATTTTGATATTTCTAAATTTCGGTTTGGGTTCGGATAACCCATTTAAATTCTTTTTAAAAAATTAAAATTGATTATATACTTTAAATTTCTAAAAATCTATAAAAAAAATAATATATTACAAATAATTGAATAACATAAGTTAAAATACCTAAAATTAACATATAAATTAGTTTGATTTAAATATTTAGATTGTGAATCAATAATTTTTTTAAGTATTTTTGATGTTTTGGATGTACTTTAGCCATTTTAGACATGTATGTTTGACTATTTACATATATTTACAAGTTTTTTGAACAATTTCAAAGTATTTTATATATATTGAATGCTTTTTAAATACATTAAATCTAAAATAATTAATATAATATGTCTATAAATCTCTTATGGATATATTTGGGTACCCAAAATATTTCAGTTCGGGTCGAATTCGGTTTCAGTTTTTTAAATACCAAAATTATGAACCCATTTAGATTTTAAATTAATTTTGATTCGGATTCAATACTACTTTTTTGGATCGGATCCGAGATTTTTGCCAGCTCTATTTCTACCGTTCAAAATGCTCATACTATTACTATTAGACAGCCTGTCTATATCTTGTTTCTTTTTTATGAAAACTTATGTATGTTCACTTTCATTTATCCCGTCATTTATATATTTTAAAGATTATCAACAACATCTTATTTTAAAGAACATGGACCATCTTTTTTTGGAACTGTAATATGGACCATCTTATCAATGTAAACAGCTGTTCAACAAAATAATGAAACATCAAATTTACATAACAAAAAAAAATGAACCTCGCATACATTTTATTCTAATTCGTATGAGTTAACTAAGAAATGGAACATCAAATTTTATTTGATACATTTATAAGAAACTACCTTTTAATTAGAAGACACAGATATGAATTTCCATTAATCTATATTATAATAGTAGATTTTCTAGGCTCCACAACGCGCCACGTCAGCAGTTTTGTGGGTTTTTTCAAAACCCATAGTCTTGATAAGATGATTATGAACAATGAAATACACTTTAGCCAAGTGTAAGGTGTCTAATTACATATGCAAGATCTTCAAACCACGCAACTATAATGTATTTTTGATTTTTTATTTGGCTTATTATCATATGAGGTTTTTGTTTATAAGGTTTTTATGTTTCTTTTTTGGGCTTATTGTTTTAAAGATCAAAATAGTTGAATAAACCAGAGCTTAACAAGTTCAAACCCAAAAATAGTTAAAAATGGATTCAAAAACGAACAATAAAAAAAAAAAAACAAGTATGCGGTTGCCTACGCGGATGGCTTAAAGAGCCTTTAAAGAGCCTCAACTAACACGTATTTTTGATTTTTCTATTTGGCTTATTATCATATGGGCTTTTTGTTTATAAGGTTTTTATGTTTCTTTTTTGGGCTTATTGTTTTAAAGATCAAAATAGTTGAATAAACCCTAAAACTTAACAAGTTCAAACCCAAAAATAGTTAAAAAATGGATCCAAAAACGAACAATAAAAAAAAAAAACAAGTCTCATGCGGTTGCCTACGCGGATGGTTTAAAGAGCCTTAAAATATCCTATTATAATATAGCTCAACCCAAAAATTATAAAAAATGAATCCAAAAACAAACAGACCAAAAAACAAAAACAAAAGGTGAATCCCACGCGGCTGCCTACGTAGATGGCTTAATGAGACTTGAATAATATGGATTAAGAGCTCAAAAAGTTAAATCATTGCACATATTTCCTAATATATATTTTATAAAAAATTTGTATGTGAGATAAAATAAAAAACAACAAAAATTAATTATTTTCGTTATTTATGAAATGAATATGTAATTTCTCTTACACTTTAATAACTACTATAATTTCATTGAAAACATTCCTCACCATCGATTTCAGACTCCGGCGAATGGATTCCCACAGTCGATGACGTCGTAGATAAAAATGCCACATCAGTTAAGAACAAAACTCAAACTTACAAAAAACATATATTAAAACCTATCTAACGAACCTTAAACAATGAATATTAAGTTAATTAAGTTTATTTTCAAATTGATAAATCGTTTAATACAAATATAAATATAGAATTATATCAAGTTTTGACCTACGATAGAAAAACTATTTACAGCAAAAAGAAAAACACCTACTTTTACACACTAAAAACTATAATATAGCCTAACTATTCATATAAACTTTACTTCGCATATAAATAACATTTAACACATTCCTAATATATTTTCAAAAAATTTGTATGTGAAATAAAATAAACAAAAAAATTAGTATTTATCGTTATTTATTAAATGAATATGTAATTTCTCTTTCATTTTAATAACTACTATAATTTCGTTGAAAATATTCCTCACCACCAACTCCAGACTTCGGCGAATGGATTCCTACAGTCGATGACGCCGTAGATAAAAATGTCACATCATTTATGAACAAAACCCAAACTTACAAAAACCATATATAAAAACCTATCTAATGAAACTTAAACAACGAATATTAATTTAGTTAAGGTTATTTTCAAATTGATAAATCGTTTAATACAAATATAAATAGTAAAAATATAGAATTATATCAAGTTTTGACATACGATATAAAAACTATTTACAACAAAAAAAAAAAAAATACACCTACTTTTACACAGTAAAAACTATATTATAGCCTAACTATTCCTATAAACATTACTTCGCATATAAACAACATTTAACACATTAGATATACAATATTTTAACTTTACATTCTTACTACATTCTTTCCATTTCATTATTATTTGGTGTCATTAGAAGAATCTACTAAACGAACAATCGAAAAGAATACACGCAAACATAATGATCCCGGCCTCGCGCTTGCGCGGGGAGTATGCAACTAGTAAACAAAAGACTTTAGACAAGCATTGATATTTTTCTAAGATGTACTTTTTCTATATTTTACAAAATAGACGAAGCATATGAACAAAACAAAAGATCTTGCAATTTTTACATGAAAGAAAACAAGAAGATTATCAAAATGTGTTTTCAGACTTGGACTTTATACTATTTACAAAATACAACAAATATACGACTCCAACGATAAAGATAAATGATAATATTATCTGTAAAAGTTTAAAACTATCGTCGACAAGACCAACCATCGTCAAAATTGAGATGATAACTCCGGAGATCATAGCTGCACTGAATATTATGATTATCACTCTTCCTCGACAGTTTCAAACGTGATTTCAACCTCCAAACAAACTGCTTCACAAGAACGCGAGGAGGTTTCCCACAACATGATGATGAGAACGCAAACGCAACCATCGTTCTTTCCCCAGCGTTTCCTAGCTTAGCTGAGGCCGTCGTTGTTGAGCTTCCGATTCGTTTTCCCCATCTACGGAACTGAAATCTCTTCAAATTCTGTCGGTTCATTGCTTATGCTTGTCTGTCTTTTGTGTGATTTGTGAGAATGAGAAAATGTAACTACGAAGCAAAGAATGAGAGAAAATATTTAAAGGGAGAGAGAGAGGTTTTGGGGTTTGCAACGTGTATATATCTAATTCGTTGTTTAAAAGTATACAGTCAACGAATAGTCCAAAGTTCATCATCCACCAGGACCACCACCGTGTACAATTGTTTTTTTAAATCCATTGACATGAATATATAGATAGATACATTAAAAACTCTATAAATTAATAATAAAAAATTATTTAAACTAATATATCTTTAATATTGTTTCTCAATTTGATCTTAACTATATATATATTTTTTTTGGCAACGATCTTAACTATATTTACTTTTAGTTTATAAAATAAAGAGTTAATTAGTATACACTTATATTTCTAGAATTAACTAATTAATTTTTTAAAGTACTACTCTAAATTTAAAGTTTATATTTAAAGGATGTAACTTTGGAAAATGGATTTCGGAGGTTAAAAATAAATAAATAAATACTTAAAATTTTAAAACAGTTTCAAAAAGAATTTTGAATTAAAAAAAAATATGTCAAAATTTTTGAACTTTTTAATATGACAAGTTTGAATTTAAAAACATATCATTCGAAAATATAGTTTTATTATTTATTTAAATAATTATTTATATTTAGAGTTTATATTTATATATCTTTAAAGTATGTGTAAAAAAGTCTTTTGCCTCTTTAATAAAAAAATATATTTTTGATATTTATGAAAATGTTCTCTATTAAAAGTAAACATGAAAAGTGATACAAAAAGAGATAAAAACATAATCTCCCTATCAACAATGTTGGAGTTATGGCATTTTATTAATTTATAGAATTATTAATTTACAAAAACTTTCTTTTGATATTAAAATAGCTATTTTTTAAAATAAGAAAAATATTTGACTTTTGTGTGTCTATATATTTATTAAAATTTTGAAATTGATATCATACTATTTTTATTATATTATTTGGTGTATATAAAATGAGTTTCATAGAACTCAAATTTGGTTTTAGATATAGTTTTACTATATCTCATCAAAATATATTAAATGTTAAGAAAATATAATGATAATTTACTTATGAATATAGATAAACATTATAATGGTTTGCATATACTTATATAAAATGTATATACAGATAAATTAGTAATTTATAATTTTATCGGGACTATATAAACATAGAATTTTTTTTACATAGTTATTATCTTATCACTTTATGTTATATCTGTTTATTATCAAATGTTAAATGCAAAAGAAATATATTCAGATATGTGTTCCATATATCAAGTTAGCACTTGCACTACGTACAATTGCTTATGGTCTATGACCTTTAATTCTAGAGAAATTATTAGAAATATCTCGAGTAATTATCACTTTTTAAAAATACCATCAATAAAAAAATATATTAACATTTGAGTTTAGATTTTAGTGTTTATTATTCAGGGTTTAGTGTTTTAGAGTTGATGTTCTCTGAGTAGTATCTATCTTAAAAATTAATTAATCCTAATTTTTAACATTAATTATTTTTGGCAAAATCTTCCTTAAAAATATAATCAATTAATTTATTTATGGTCAACATTAATGATTATTTCAAATGACAATATATTTCAGTATATCTATCTTATTAAAGTCGAAGTACAATATGAACTAACTATTAAAATAACTTTTTAATTACAACTAATGCCATTAGAAATTAATTAATACTGATTTTTTAACATTAATTACTTTTAACAAAATCTTCTTATAAATTCAGTCAATTAGTTTTATCTATGATCAACTTTAATGATTGTTTCCAATAACAATATATTTCAATATTTTCTTTCTTAAAGTAAACAATTAATTCATTTTATCCATAATTGATTATATATATATAAAGCAGTACAAATACTATAATATAAAAACAATATAAAATTATTTTACCATTTCGTAAATATTAAAACTTATCAATTTTTGTATCCAAATAAGTAGTTTGTTTATATTATAATAATTAATATTTCAAAATTTTAAATATTAATGTATATGAAGAATATAAAATTTACATAAAATAAATAAGAATTTGAATAATTACTTATTTATTGTATTACTAATAAGTGCTAAAAGTTTGAAGATACAAAACAACATCAATGCTATATATAACTATTATATAATAAAATGAAATATAATATTCATTAGAAAGAATAATCCAATGTTAGTATCACAATTTTTATATACAATAAATATATACGGTATGTTTTTAAAAGTTAAAACAAATATCCGCATGTATGTTCTGATTAAAATCTAGTTAAGTCCAAAGATATCTCTTATATATTAATTGAGAAACATTTGAAAAGTTATAGTTTTAAGTTTGTATTAATTAAAAAATAAGTGATACTTCTCAATGTCTTCTATTTCGATTTAGAAGGATTCTAGAACAGCTCATATAAAACATAGTTTTAAAACATGGTCCATTGGTCTCATATAAGACATATCAAACTAAATAACATATCAAACTAAATCTCCTATATATTATTTTCTTAAATAAAACCTACGAAATTACCTAATGTGATTAAGATATATATGACTATTAATGATTTTAAATAATAAAGATTTGTTAACAATATGTATATTTTATATCATTTTTAAAATGTTTTTATTATTAAAATAAATTGCACACTAATCATATAATAAAAATTTAGCTTTTTAATATATGTTGTATTTTGAAATTTTCAAAACGAGTATAAATTACTAAAGCTGTTAAAAATCTCACATAAACTTTTGTGATCAAGGACTATTTTTTTTATAATAAGTTATAATGATTATAAAATCCTATGGATAAATAATTTTATTTTAATAGGTGTTTATGTTAATATATATATATATATATATCTCATATCATATGATTAAATAATATTATTGTAAACATAATTATAATTTAAAATTTAACTTATTTTTTTTATAAAATTATTTTTATTTTAAAAAGGTTTAAAAAAATATAATTTCTGATATTATTAGACAAATAAATAAGTTATATTAAATTAGTTTTGAAACTTTATATATTCTAAATGGAAATATTCTACCAACTGCTTCTTAAGAAAACATTTGGGAACTTGAGAATGCTCTACCAATAAAGCCATGTGATACTCCGTTTATTTTTCTTCATTCGAACACTGAAAAGTAAAAAGATATATAAACCATACCCATTAAATTCTAAGTTTTGATCTACAGTTTTAGTTACAGTTGTTTCTGATCCTATGTATAGATAATTATATAAAAACTCCAAAATTCTAAATACATATAAAACCACTTGTAAATTTTAAATTTGTCAATATTAAAATTTTATATTTTAATTACACTCATTTTGCGTAAGGCGTAAATCTTATTCTAGTGTCTGATTATTAGGTTAGTGTCAACTCCACATCACAAAGCCTAATAATAATGTAGGTCATAAACCCGTCCCACTTTCGGGTGGAGAATCAAATTACCATTTTTATATCAACGGACAGCGGTGAAAAGCAAAAAGTCTCAATGAATGAATCATTTCAACTT